TTTCGGCTCGTCCTTGGGATCCTTGGCTCTTGCGGTGCAGCTGGTGGCCTTTCGGCTCGTGTCTTGGATTATTGTTTATTTTATTTTTTTTTTTTTGTGCCTTGGGTGGCCTCGCGGCCCATGCTTTCGTGCCTTGGGTGGCCTTTCGGCTCGTCCTTGGGACCCTTGGCTCTGGCGGTGCAGCTGGTGGCCTCTCGGCTGGCACTTTCGTGCCTTGGGTGGCCTTTCGGCCCGTGCCCTGGATTGGTTTTTTCGTGATTGATTATTCTTTTTTTCAATTTGTTATTATTGCTATTTATTTATTTAGTTTTTGTTTTTTTTTGTGCCTTGGGTGGCCTCTGGGCCCGTGCTTTCGCGCCTTGGATAGCCTCTCGGCTCTTGCAGTGCAGCTGGTGGCCTCTTGGTTGGCACTTTCGTGCCTTGGGTGGCTTTGCGGGCCGTGCCTTGGATTATTATTTTATGTTTATTTTTTTTATTTATTTGTGTGTGTGCCTTGGGTAGCCTCTCGGCCCGTGCCTTCGCCTCATGTGTTTTTTTTGCCAATCATTGGTCTTAAGTGGCCTGTCGGCTGGCGTTGAGTGTGTTTTTTTTTGCCAATCATTGGTCTAAAGTGGCCCCTCGGCTGGCGTTGTGGCCCGTTTGTCGTGCCTCGGATAGCCTGGAGGCTCGAGCCTTGTAGCTGTAGTGTGCCTGTTTATGTTTGTTGCATGTTCCGTAGAGGATCTGTCGCCAAGGTTGCTTAATCTGTTGCCTTTGCCTCGCCGTTGCTTCCGCCCAAGCCCCCTTTAGTGTGGGTTGTGATTCCTGGGTCTAGGGACCATGGATGTGCCAGGCGAGCAGCACGTGAAAGTATGTATAGATGAGTTAAGCGCTGTGGCGACTGCGTGGTTGGCCAAGAACCCCAAGCAATTGGAGCTTAATGCAGCTCTCAAAGACTTCCAGGGCCTTTATGAGTTGGCGCCCCAGAATCCTGGCAACTTAGCGACAGATGGGCGCAAGCGGTTCGCACGCCTGCAGCCCCTTGCGAGCTTTGTTGCGAGCCTGAAAGGATTTCTGCATGATTCTTTGATACCGACTGCCAAGTCTTGCGTGCGTAAAGTGTCTCGGGTGGTCTCGCCTTATTTTGGAGGTGTGCCGCTGCACGATCATAGCGAGTCGCTGCCTAGTTTGGTGAGTGATTCATTAACATTCGCAATTCTCAACCCTGGAAGAATTGGGCTCTCCACCGTTGCCGGTGAAGACATTTTGTGGTGGCGTTTGTTTCATATCTGTTCTGTGTTGGTAGAGCGAAATATCCAGATTTGTGTTTTGCCGGGGGCGAGATGGCCACCTGGTAGCACACTGCCACCTGGAATTCCCTTCAAGTGGCTGGGCGTGCAAACGTCTTCCTGGGGAGCAGTTGGGGTCCTGGTGGCCACTGAGTTGGACACGGAAGTCTCATGTATTGAACAGTTGGGGTCCTCAGTGATTTTGTGGTTACTAGTCCGCGGTAGTGACCGCAAACAGGGGCCAGCTGTCATTCTGGGAGCGATCTACCCCAAGCCAGGAGGCGACCTGGAAACATGGCAGCAGATCTTGGATGAATACCAGCATCTAAAGACGTGCTACCCAGGCACTCGTATCTTGATCGCAGGGGATGCCAACATACACCTAGAGACGGTGGTCTCTCACCAGGCAGAGTGTCGTTGTGTACACTGCCGCCAGAGCTCCGTGGACAGAGAAATTGAAAGACGAATTATTGCCGTGGGCCTCGTCTGTTACAACCCGCCTAAGCCCACGCATGTAAGCGGCACAACTATTGATCTGGTGCTCGGGGCAGGTGATGCGAATGTCCCGGTCGAAATTATCGAGGAATCTGTGGGTTTGTCGGATCATTTTTTGGTTATTGCCAAGTGCCCTGCAAGGCTCCAGGCTTCGTTTCCTACATCTGTGGGCCGAGTCATGTGGGCACTATCGTCCGAGTGGGATACCGTTTGTGAAGATGTTAGCTCGGCTTTTGCTTTGGCTGTCTGCGTCATATCTGAAGCCCAGAATGAGATTGAAGAGTTTGGCCATAACATGCCGATCAAACGCAAGCGCGCCGTTTTGGATGCGGGAGCTTGGATTCGCGAAGTTTTCATTTGTATCCTTGGCCATTGCGCAGGCTTAGTGTACGCCAGGAAAGGAGCCCAGAAAGAGCAACCTTGGACGGCAAGTTTCCCACAGGTTCAAAATTTCGCTTCTTACGATGATTATAAGCATGCTGTTGCTGAATTTGATGCAGCCACGAAACGACGATGTGTCAACAAGTTCTTGTCACTGCTGGCGTCCAACCCCAATGAAAGCAAAAGGTTCCTTTCTTCCTGGTTTAAGAAGCCCAACGATTTTCATATCCATCTTACAGATGAGGACTCCGACCAGTTGCTCAGTACACAGGAGGCTTTGCTGGAAATACAGCAGGATTTGATCGATAGAGCAGACAACGATTTCCCACAGGATCCTGGGTCGGCACAGGCGCTACGCGACACCGTGGTTTCCATTCGCCGGCTTGGTGCACCCGCCCAGGGCATTCCCGGCATCATGGTTGTCCCGACAGTCAACACTGCCACAAACACCGCACTGTATAGTTGGTCTGAGTTTGAAACTGTTTTGGCTAACATCAAAGTCAAGAAGCAAAGCGCATATGGACCATTGGCAGCAGTGAAAGCTGCTGCTCCCGCCGCTCGTGCATTGACCTTCGCTTTAGTCAACCTGGCAAGGGTTTGCGAGCTGACTTCTTCCCTCTGGTATGCCAGGCGTATTACGCCTTTGCGTAAGAAGGGACCTAAAGTGGTTAGGAAGACCGTAAACCTTCGGCCTATCAGCATCGCTTCGGATATCGCGACTGTCCAAGACGCTTTGTGGCTAGGTCGGTGCCAACCAGTGTTGGAAAATTTCACTGGCTGCAATCAAGTTGGTGGTAAGTTTGACACAATGTCTGTGGTGTTGGCAGTTGTGCTTCATGTCCAGATCAGGCACATGCAAGACCTGAAGACATACCTGCTTTTTGCAGACCTGCAGGCTGCATATGATACAGCTGGCCACGATGCCCTATTGGCGGCTTCCTATTGCGCGGGAGTTGTAGGTGTTGAATGGAATTTGCTCTGGGATTTTATTCACATGGATTCTGCTACGGTGTCTCTCAGCGGGCTGATCTCTGATGCTGTCAAGTTTCGTGCTGGTATCCCGCAGGGTAAGCGCTTCGCTGTACATGTTTTCACTGCACTCATGAATCTTCTTCGCGAAGTGTTGACGTCGTTTTGCGTCCCTGCCATGACTATCCTGCCCCCATATGCAGCAGAAGCAGTGTCGGGCCTTTGGACGGGCCTCACACCAGTCCCCGAGATCTGCAGATTGAGCCCTTGCTATTCTGCGCCTCAAGTTGTTTTGAGATTGCGCTCGCTCCGCGATGAGGGTGTTGACCTCGTGTTCTGCAGAAGAGTAGCCATTCATGAAATTGCTCGCCTTCGTGATGTCAGTGAGCGCCAGCATGTGGTGGAGCTCCTTGGTCACTCCCCACTGGGGGCCCTACTGTTTGTGGATGATGTGGTTGCTTCTTTTGCGTCTGAAGTTACTGTCTGCCATGCAGCTACGGAGGGTTTGCAGGCCTACGCTACTGCTATTAAAGCTCAGTTCAATATGGGGCCTACGAAGACTGCTATCATGCCGTGCTTCAGTGCCCCAGATGTGCCGCTTCGCAGCATTATGTGTGAGAACTACAAGCTGTTAGGAGTCCAATTGGAAAGAGATTTTTCCTTCAAAGCCAGGGCCGATTTCATATGTCGCGCCGGGTAGGGCTTGTTCACCGAACTTAAAGGCGTGGCAGGCCAAGCAGGTTTTCCGCCGCCAGTACTTTCCATTGCTGTCATCGAGCGCATCGAGCCGGTGATGTTATATGCTGCTGAACTGCTACCTCTTGTGCCGGACATCTATGGGAAACTTAACACACTGCAAGCGTCTTGGGCTAAATCCATCCTGGCAGATAAGGCTGGTGCGGCTATTAGGGGTGTCTTGGCAGTGGCAACGGTGGGATGGAGCTTCCGGCTTGCGTCAAAGGCAAAGATCCGCGCTTTTATCTACTTGGCCAAAATCCACCTGCTGCCTCCTGAGCATCCCGTTGCTCGTATGACAGCCCTTGCCCAGACGTTGGTGTCTGGCACATGGCTGCATGCAGTGCAGGATCTCCGAAGACAACATCGGGACTTGCCGCTATTGCAAGATTCTGGAGTTTGCAATCAGGAAGAAGTGCTTGCAGCCAGAATGGACAAATCGATCCGGAAGAGTATTTTGGCAGCTTACAAAAGGCATGTGGTGGCACCCTTTTTCATTAGTTTGGACAACAAAGAGTTCCAAACAGCCGCCGCTAAGGACCTTCCAAGCCTGGGGGTCTCCTATTCTGATTTGTGTCCCCTGCGGCTTGATCAGGGTTGGGCTGGGCTGCTTCGGACGGCTCCGTTTAGTTTGTGGGGTGCTGTTCAACTGTGGGCCTTCGTTCGCCTCACGGGCTTGTGGCCGCTGCAGCTGGCTGCAGGATCGCAGGACCTGCAAAATATTGTAGCCTTCCCTCGGTGCCCCCTGTGCCAAGCGGAGGATGCCACCGTAACGCACTGTTTGAAGTACTGCCCCGCTACCCGGCCACACTTGGAAGAAAGTGGTCTGACGGAGTGCCTGCCTGTTGGCTGCTCTGACTATGAGTTCGTCATGGTGCTTTTCCACTCCAGCACTAACACTGAGGTTGACGTCCTCAGGGTGCGCTTTGTAGGCTTTGTGGTCAGGCATACAATACTGTGCTACCTGGAGAGCCCGTGATCCTGTACCAAAACACTGATGCGTTGCAACGACCTGTCAGTTTTCTACTGAAGGTAGCGCACAACCCAGCCACGTGCCCTCACACTCTTCTGACGAGTTTGAGCGTGTTTCCGGAACAAGCATTACAAGCAAGCATTACGTCTCCACCAAATCAGTTGCTTCCTCGTGCAATGCAGTGTACTTCTCGTTCAGGTGTGCAACTTTGCGCGGGTGAAAGCCCTTTTCATCGAGAGCTCCGATCTGCCGAAAGATGGCCTGCATATCTTCCAGAGATGTTGCTGCTTCCAAGTGAGCCAAAGCTGCCATATCGTCCACACAGAAGTCTGCAGGGCCGTACTTACAAAAGACTTTTGTCTTGGCATTCTCACTGCAGCACACCTCGTGCATCATGGGCTGCGTGTCAGTCATCAGGCGGGCCAAGGATTTTGCTGTCAAGCGACCCATTTATTTCTTCCCTTTGTAATCCAACCGCCGGCTGAGTTCGTTTTGCTCGTCGCCTAGCAAAGCAGGGGTGACCAATTTGCAAGGTTCAACGCATACATCGGCCCAGAGCCCTTCATGTTCAAGCACCCGGCCAGCATACTGAGTCAATGGAAACTTGCTTTCTTGCGGGACGAAACAGTCTAGCATCCTAAAGAAGCTGTCTACGGAGTTGAGCGCGTAGCAAGCGTAGCCCGGCGCTTGTTTCGCACTACGCCACGGCGCTATCCACATGTCTTCAACCTTCTAGAAGTGCTCTTTCTGCAAATTCTCGACGAATAGTCTTTCGCCCGCTTTCTCCAGCACGTCAAAACAGCCCACCCAGAAGGCATGAAACACAACATCATTGCGGTAGAAGGAGCTGGCGGTCACCCATCGTTTGGCACTACCCCAAAAACTGCTCTGAGAAAGTTTTTTTGCACCCTGATCTCTGATGTTGCGCTTCACGTGCTCAAGGCTTCTGATTAAGGGGAAAAAAAAAAAAAAAAAGTCTTCGAAGCCTCGAACAAGCCCCAAGCCTCCGTCGATATGCGCCAAAGTAGCGGCCTTGAGGCCCTCGGGCACATGCTAGGAGATCTTGGTGTGCGTGCTCTGGAGCAGCTTCAGCACCGCCGGGCCACTCTCACTTGGCGACAATGCAAATGCCAGAAGGACAAAGGTGTTTTGAATGCTTAGGCTTAGGATGTGCTGTCTACAAAACAATGTCTATGCAAGACGTTGCACCTCACGATATTCAGCCACAGCGAGCGTCAACTATCCTTTAAAGATTATATTACGATATCTTGAAAAAGTTTACAGAATTGTTTAGTACCACGAGAATATTGTTTGAAACTCTAGAGAATATTTCCGTGCAAATACCTTCTTAGAGATCCCAAAATTTCATACCCCATTAGTTGTAATCCAGACGCATCAGACCATTTTGCAGCCACTGCAGATTCAAACCGCCAAGGTATCGCAACCCCATAGCTCACCAACAACAAAGAACCGACGAAACAGGTGGACTAATTCCGGTTATCTGACTATCAATGTTAACTAAGTATCCTGAGATATGGCCTACTACGTCTTCGGAATATTTGCAAATTTCGCACTACTCTACACAATAGGAGTCCCAAGAACAAGATTGAAACAAGGATGCCTTGGTGTTGCCGGTAGTGCTAACGTAAGATCTTTGCTTTCGGCCGTGCTGTTCTGTTGCCATCGGCCTAAAATCGTCCCAGCCTAGAAGATTCGCGTGCTCTTTCAACTACTATGTAAATTTTGTGTCTCCACCAGCTCAAGTAGATGCCAACTATGTCCAACCACGCCAGCCTTCCTTCGGAGACTCTGCTTTGCATGAGACTTGTTCAAGAAGACCTGCGCCTTCCCGTCGACCTGCCGCACATGCTCCTTTTTGAGTAAGGGTCACGCACCGGCCTTCCCACAATAGCTTTTGGCTACGCACAGGCTTTAATGTTCGCGAGTGTTGGAAGTCTGCAATGCGCCGTATCACTGCACATCGCCGGGGCAAGGGCTTACACGTTAATGCTTGATGTGCAATGCTGCAAAGCATGCAGACGTCCAACTTCACGCATTATCGCCACACGGAAAAGTTCATGCTTAAAATGCGACTAAGCCGGAGCCTATAACAAAACTGCATGAGAAAGCTGTACATCACGGAGTCCTTCTCCCTGTTGGGCCAAGGTCTGCCCTTGTCAAAAGTCCCTCCTCTTCCGATCTATACACACTGTACGAGGATGGGATAATAACATGCCTCTACCGGGCTTCGTGCTTCAATTCGCCAAGCCACCATTTTTCAGGGACGGCTTCTTCTGGCCCCCCTTGGCTGATGGCTTGTTAGTTGCCCAGGCCCTGTCAAAGTGACGTCCCGCTGCTGGGTGCATCGTCGCACAAGCACACCTGCATGGAGTCAGAGTGCCGAGACCACGGGAACCCCTCCCAGCCTGCCAATCTTCCGGAGCCCTCGAAGCAAAAGCAACGTGAAATCCTGACTTGCCTGCTTCGCGAAGTTGAGCTTCTCTGCCCAGTCTAGTTGGCTCCTGTCTAGCAACGACTAGTTGTGGCAAAGGCCTTGTGCCGGGCGGGGGGCATGCCGGTGCTTCCGCCAAGGTTGATTCGGTCCTCTCCAAGCGGTTGTCTTGCGCTGTGCGTGGAGCTCTACAACGCCGCAGCCCAAGCACACAAACCAGCAGCAAGCAAACGCCAGCCAGGAATAACCTCAAGCTCATCAGCTGTCGCTGGCACATGACACCTCCCTTCTGGCGGCAGGGTTCGAGTCTCCAAGGCCATGACAAGCTGACCAACGTCACGAGCAATGGCGTGACCTTGCAATACAGCAAATTTCATCAGGTTTGCTATTGGTGCTGGTATGTGGCATGCAAAAAGTACCCTGGGTTTTGCCAGGCAGCCATACTGGAACTCCTGAGTGCTGCCAGAAACACGAAGAAAGACTCTAAAGTTCTCCGTGCAAGCGGCAGCTTGAGCACCTGGCGTTCCACCCAACGGCTCTGGCTGCGACACGGGCGTCGTCACCGGCAGTGGTTGTGGCGCCGGCGCTGGTGCAGGCCAATTATCCTCCGGCGGTGGCGGTGCTGGTGCAGGTGCAGACCTCCGGCGTCGGCGGCGATCGGGTGCGAGTGCAGGCGCCGGTGCAGGTGCTGGCCAATTATACCCCGGCAGGGCGCCGGGCGCGGGTGGAGGCGGTGAAGGCGTGGGTGAGAAATATCGGCGGCGGTCATCCGGTGCCGGTGCAGGCACCGGTGCGGGGGAATCCGGCTGCAGCGGAGACGGCGGTGGAGGCCAGCCGTAACCAGATGTGCCAAATCCACATGTGGTGGTGGTGGTGGGTCCTGAGACACTCAAAGTCACGATCAAACACTGGGTCGGAAGTTTAACATGTAGCAGCCAACAATCTTTGGTATGTGAGGCAGAAGTCCGTCTGGCTCAGGCCAGTAGTCCTGACGAAAGTTCAATCCGCAGTCAGCTATTCCCTTTAAAAATCTCAGACGGCCACTGCGAAGCTGCTGCTACTACTCTTTGACCCTCCTCCGTTGTCTCGCTTGGTATCAATGATGCGACCGCCACACCACCACATACGACCAGGCCAACCTCAGCGGCAGTCGTGCAGTTTGGCCAACTGCTACTTCATTGTCATGGCAAGGGCAGACTTGGTATCAAGTTCTGGGCGTCCCTGCAGTATGACATGATGCTGAACTGAGGGTACACCTAAAACTCTGCGTGCAGCCCCAGCCACTGAAATGCTGCCCATGGCCACGAGAAACATCATGCGATTTCGAGCGTGAGAATCTAAAGGCTTCTCACTCCTCAGTTCAACGGCTCAGTTCAATGGCTTACGGGTTTAGGGTCTAGGGGTTTAGGGGTTTAGGGTTTAGGGGTTTAGGGTTTAGGGGTTTAGGGGTTTAGGGTTTAGGGTTTAGGGTTTAGGGAACAGGCCTTGACAAGCTCTGCCGTGGATTCCTAGGAACTCAGAGACTCCAAAACCCCTTAATTAAGGAATATACCTTAAATCATATTAAGGGCTCCTATTATGTTTTAAGGTATATTCCTTGATTAAGGAATATACCTTAAATCATATTTGGGCTCCTATTACTGATTTCAGGTATATTCCTTAATTAAGGGGTTTTGAGCCCTATCATAATTTGAGGTATATTCCTTAATTAAGGGGTTTTGGAGCCTCTGGGAACTCGGTACCCGCCCCCGGAAACTTCGGAGACTAGCGGGCCGGGAATCTTCGCACGTCCAAAGAGAGACCAATTGTTCAGCTCCTCTTCAGCGCATTTAGGGTTTTAGGGTTTAGGGTTCAGGGATTTAGGGGTCTAGGGTTTAGGGTTTTAGGGTTTAGGGTTTAGGGGTTTAGGGTTCAGCTCCTCTTCAGCACGTTGCAGCTCTTCTGCCAGCATGTCCTGCCAGTTCGGATCCTGATGCAAGGCACACAATACTGGACGAAGGGAGACCATGGAACGAACGCCAATCTGGATTGCACAGAGTCACACATTCAATTGCACATGCAAGATCCACACATGAATCATGACCCTGGCTCATCCTGACGGCATGTTGCGTGGCGTGGTGACAAAGCGGGGTGGGTTGGAGTGGATGGGATTGGGCTGGGGGGGGGGGGGGAGAGTGCGAGCACAGGTGCGAGCAGACTGTCATATGCCTGGACCATGTAAAGATGAGTCAGCCATGCTGGCCGCAATGTGCACGGTATCCGCGACGAAGCGGGTAGGGCAGTTGAGTTCAGCAACGTCCATTTTCCCAAAGTCTGACACTGCCGCGCCTTGCAGTCAGTGTCAGCATGCAAAGACCCCACTCCCTTTTGCCATGTGGCTTTCAACTCAACATCCATGCCTCCAAATACTATGCACAACTACAAACACTGCAATATAATCTGGAATAACCCATTAGACAAAAACATAGTACACTCACAATAATATAATCTGGTATAGTCTTTTCGACACTGCAAGCAACGCTGGCAACCAGCCGCCTTCTTAGCCAGCACAGCCCGCAAGGATTGCAGGCGAAAGGAGAAGATCTTCCAGTCCAGGGCACGAAAGCCTGGTAACATAGGGGCCTTCATGATTAGAGTAGGGTTCCCTCAAAGGTTTCAAGTAAAGGGTTACTACTTGGGGTTTAGGGGTATGCCGGGTTTGACGTATAATTAGAATAGAACAGGGTTTTGGGAGTATATTGTTGTATACTTGTAGTAGGAGCCCTAAGAAACACTCGCCGCTGACCGTTACAATTGAGACTTTTAAGAGTATTGCAAGCGAAACAGAGCATGAAATGTAATGAATCCACACCGTGCAGCCTCCCAAGTCCTGAATGCGAGACCGGATCATGTCAGTGTCGGCAGGATTGCTGCAGACGGCACTGTCAGTACGAGCTTTTAACAGCTCCACTAGAGATGTTTGGCGCTGGTTCAGGTAACGCTCTGAGAAGGCGAAGCCAACCTCATTTCGGTGAGGACCAGAACTCTTGTCGGAAGCTTGTTGTGGACTCATGTCGCTAGGACGGCTCTCACAGCAACTATACGCAGCTGAAAAATGCAATAAAGCAACTTTGGATTCGAGGCGCGTGGCTTCTGCAATTTCATATACACACCTTGGCTGCCCTTCAATACGTTCGTCAAGCAAACTTCACTTCAGTACGCTCAATATACAGGCGAAGCTAATCAAGCAGTAGCGATAACTGCCACAAGGACACCAGAGACGCTCATAGACTCCGGCAGATGACGTGTGAACCACCACCATACCAAGAGCCGGAGTCGTGTGTCGAATCACAGATCCGAACGGATCCAGCTCGAGTTGCTCACCTGAGCGGCTGAGTTGTCTAGCACAATAATCTTACTATGGTAAGATGAAACAAACCCTGTCAAACAGCCCCAAAAAGGTTAGCCAGGTAGGAGTGTATAAACTTCAAAATGCAAAAAGTTGCCACTCGGCTGCTAAGTGACTTATGCTCGGCCCCACATCGTCAGGCTCATCTCCTGCTTGATATTCGGCTTCAGGCTGTTAGGATTTGGAATCATCTTCGGCTTTGCATTGGGCTTCAGGGCTTCGGGTTTAGAGTTTAGGGCTTGTGGGACTCAGGTTTAGGGTTTAGGGAGTTTAGGGCTTGTGGGACTTAGGCTTAGGGTTGAAAGGGCTTGCATCTATGGGGGTTTGGGGCTTTAGGCTCATCTCCTGCTTGGTATTGGGCAAATCCGCAGAACCAGACACTGGTGAAGAGCCCAGAAGTCTCTTCCAGGCAGTAGTCGACAATGGCTTCCTCACACTCGTCCATGTCCTCCTTATACCCGGTCAACAGCGAATGTGCAGCCCAACAAAGCCCAACTCACATCAGAACAAGACTAAGAGCTATTGTAGGGGCCTTAATAAATAGAATAGAGTTTGGAGGTATATTATACTTATATATATATATATTAAATATATAAGGAACCCCAAAACCCTATTCTAATTCTAAGTATAAAGGCCCCTACATCCATTGACCAACAGGAAGAGGGGCTTTGAAACGCCAAAATCATCGATCGGGAATACATCCGGGGTTTCGGATGAAACTTCGAGCCCGTGGCCGTGTTCTCGTCGTCGTACACAGTACGGCTTGATCGGCCGACTGGTGTTTGAGTTGCATTGACGGACGGCGAAAGAAAACACGCACACGGTCACACATTCGGTTATAAGATGTTCTGACTCTTCTCTCTGGCTTTCTGATACCATCTCTTCTAGCACCCTGGTCCGCACGGCTGAAAGGGGGACATGGTGCCACTACATGTTGCGCGCACCTCGTTCGAAATGGGCAAAGTTGAACATTTAGCTGCAATCGTTCTGATTTCTCGCAAGTCTGGCCAGCGACCTGTTTAGCACTGTGCTAACGGACGGAGTTGTGTATATAGCGGCCTTAATACAGTGAAAATACTGTATAAGAACCCACTGTTTAAGAACCTGAGCCCCTACCCAAGGCGGAATTCACCAGATTCAAGTTGCCTCAACATTAAGAACCTTAGGGTACCCTAGTTTTTCGGGTCAGGTTCTTAATTTTTTGGGCGCTTTCCCTCACCAGGAAATTTAGAATCGAAAACTAAATTTCCCAACCTTCCACATCAAGAAATCCTCTGCCCAAACTTTCCACACCAGCCCCTTCCTGGCCCTGAAGGCTCCGACCCACACAGACGGCATCAGGAAATTTAGAATCCAAAAGTAAATTTCCAGCCCTTCCTCCAAACCCCAAAGACCCCTCGCCCAGTTGAGAAGGACACAAACCAATCCAGCACAGCACCCCTGTAGCGCAGTGGTTCCGCATGGGCCCCGCTGCGGGAGGTCTTTGTTTCAATCCCCGGGACCGTCATGCTGCTGCGGGCAGGCCTAGCCACCAAACCGTGGAAATTTAGAATTGCAATTTAAATTTTCCACACCAGCCTCCTCCTGGCCCTGTGGTCCCCGGCCCAAGCCACACCCATGGCCCATCCACCCCCACAAGGAAATTTAGAATCCAAAAGTAAATTTTCTGGGGGGTCTCTGGCCATGCCCTCTGCCCCGAGTCCTTTCGACGAGCTGTGGAAATTTAGAATTGAAAACTAAATTTTCCAGACCCCCATGGCCCATCCACCCCCACAAAGAAATTTAGAATCCAAAAGTAAATTTCCCGAGACCTCGGTTCGGATAAGAACGTGGTTAAGAACCTGAGCCTACCCTAGGTGCTCGAACGGCAAAATCACATGTAATGGAAATTAAGAACATTAGGGTACCCTACTCTCGCCGAACGGGGTTCTTATACAGGTTTTCACTGTATTTAGAATAATGAATAATGCTTTGGGAGTAAAATCAAACATGATTTTGGGAGCCCTAAGCAATAATGTTGGCAAGCATTCAGGCCTGGGCGGTACTGTGACGTCGACACCTGCACCTCGAACCCTAGACCCTATGCTACTCGGCACTGCATAGGCTCAAATAGAGGGAAGGATTGTAGTCAAGATGCTGCCCAGGTGTGGGAGATCATCAACTTTGCACGACCTCTGGACAACTGGCAGTTACGGTTGAGGTTTCGACAAGGAAGGCTCGTGCGAAGCAGGCACGGATCAAGTTTAGGGCTCAGAGAATGTAAAGATGCGTATAACTACGAGACTTGAAAGAGGCATTGAGCAAGATGGCCGCGCAGCGACCAATCCACCAGCGTCGTAGGTGCTGCTGCTGTGCTACCGAGTAGCACGGCTTTTTGTGGTTCATCAGCAGTGCAATGCCGCAACCAGTGCCGCGAGTCCAAGGCTTTACAAGGTGCTGGACAAGGTCCTGGGAAGGATGCAGGCAGGCATCCACAAACAGGGCCTGGGCTACACGATCTTAAACAGTGAGGGGGGTTCGTTCCTGAGGTGAATGCACGAGGCATGTAATATGCATGCATGCCAGCGGCCTCTGTTCCGTTCAGCTCCAAACCAAGCACACTCCACACAGATAGACAGCTTTGCAGCTTTACATGGCCCACGCCGAACAGTCCGTCGGCCTGTTGTGTCACTTCAACTTGCAAGCCACATAGAACCGTTTTCTGGCAACGCCGAATGCATCACTATAGTATACATCACCCACACTTGCAAGGCCAAGTGTCGTACAACGTCACGACGTCTCGCATCTCCTTCATCCATCGCCACAGGCGGGTCTCTCGGCATTCAGACAGAAACCTTTGATGAGGCAGTGGTTTCCCCCGACTTGAATTTGGAGCGTACAAGCTGCCTTGAGATGCCGGTGGTTGGGCATCTGGTTCGCAGCGTTGTATTCGTGTTCCTATTAAGCACGGAAGCGTGTACCACATTAGTGCAGGAAAAGTTGCTCGCGGAATTGCGCGGCTGTCATGCCCCAATCCTCGCAGGCTTGATGCCAACATGCGTTAAATGCGCTACATACATCTGTGGCCATCAACAACACGGACGTGTCCCGTTGCTCCTGGGGTGGCACTTCTCGATTTGTCCACACCGCTGGCCCCAAGCACGAGGGAAGGGGCGGCAGCTCCAAGAAGCAGCTGGACATCATCTGGACTGTTTTTACAGTGAGGCATCGATGGCCACTTTGGCCAACGCAAAAGATTGGAAGCAAGTCCTTGATGCGAAAGTCAATAATCCCCATTCTGACGCGCAGGTCATGCTGAAACGCCTGCAATCCGAAATCCAATGTCAAGAGCCCTCATGTTCCTTCTTGCTGCTTGGGCCGCTATTGGCAACGCTGACGGGCACGGTGCGGTTTGCGCATGTATACGTGGAAAGGCCCAGACCCTCTTTCACACCTGGGCCCTGAACGTCATGGGCTCAACAACGGTTGCGGGGCCGATCTGAACGGGAGCCTAGTTTGGCGTCCTCATGATTCGACTATGGTTTTGGGGAATATAGTTAATCATACTCGAGCCCCAAGCACCTGCATGATGTAGCTAAGATGTCCTTGTAGAAGGTAGATGAAGAGCAGCTTGACGCACACGAACGTATTTGGCTCAAGTAAAAGAAGTGCTGTGAGTGCTTGCTTTTGCTTGTTTTGTAACACGACGAGTTTACTTCGTGTTCAACTGGTTAACAGCCTCAGCATTTCATATCATTCACTGTGGTCGTCTAGGGAGAGTCTAGGAACCCTGCGAGCCATAGTGCCCCGCGTGCAGGCCTAGTGTCTGTGCATTCCATATCTGCAAGCAACTAGCAAGGTTGCGTGAAATCGGTTCGTCGTAGGTCTAGCAAAGACCTGCCCACTTCCATACTACTTTCCATATCCCGCACTGTCAATCTCCTGGGGTTAGAGCCAGAACCCTACAGTTGAGATCCCAACCAGAGCGTACATCGCAGCCTGGTTTTGCACATTATCTGTGAGGTCCAAATCTGCCGCGTGATTCGCCTGCCTGCTCAGGCATCCGCGTGGTAACCTTCTTCGGGTTTCTCAAAGCCCTGCCTTAGCACCTCTCCCGTAGTCCCGTTCACGGACGAAGGAGGCCAGGCCTTGTGGTGCAACAGGCGATCCAGTAGAGAACAGAACACAACCGCAACGTGTCAGGAGTGCGATTGCATCCCAGCAACCCTCCTGTAAGAGTTCAGCTGAGATTGGAGGTTGATTGAGATTTCTGGTTTGGGTTAGCGTGGGTGTTTCCGTGCTCGGCCTTCGAACCGCTTCCTCAGTCCCTCATCCCAGCTGTAGACTGCCTCGGCAGCACAGCACAACGATCCAAAAGAAACAACAAATCGCATCGGCTCTCAGTGTGCCAGCCAGGGGGTTCTGTGTCGTTCTTCCTGGGTTGACATTGAACATCGGGTGATCGAGAGGGTTACCCAGCTGAGCCTTCAGGGATTGACATTGGGACATTGGATAATCTAGAGGATTGTCCAAGCAGAGCCTTCAGAGGAATAGCGAACTTCAATCTACTTGTGTTCGTTATCTGAAGGCATCCCGATTGTTTTCTTCTCTGCTGTATGAGTGGCCGCGGGGCTACTACGCCAGAGGAGAGATTCGCTCTCAACGCTGCGCTCCTGTTGGCAGCCGAGAAACGCGGAGGATCTGGCTCATCTGGGAGGGCCCGGAGGAGTTTGCACCTGAAGATTGTGGGTGGCTTTGCTTCTGAGCTCCGTGGACTCGCGGCACTTGATCAGGCAGACCGCCAGAACTTGGAGACGGCCAACGCCTATATTAATTGGCTAGAGCAGGGTAATACCCCTGATCGGTTTGATCCTTTGCCCACTTTCCTTCCGTCTTCTGGTCCGACACTGTTTCCGCGGTCTTTTGCGCCGGCACCTACTGCCCCCGAGACCCCTCCTCCTGCTGATCTTGTCCCTGAGACCCCTCCGCCTTCTGGTCTTGAGTCTCCTGGTGTATCTTCTGCTGCTCCTAGTGGGCCTTTGGTTACGCCTCGCGAGCCGCCGTTTCCACCTCCTGCACGCCGTGCCTTGGGTAGTGATTCGGATTCGGTAAGGGGTGGAACTTCCGGTAGAGGGACTCTTCCGGGTGGTAGGTTACGTCCTCCCACGCCCCCTAAACCCAGAGGCATTTCACCAACTTCGGCGCCTGGACTAGCTCCGTTTGTCCCTATCGGGACTCGAGTGACGGTTACATCTGCTAACCCTCTTCTTCGACAGCCTAAGCGGGCCCGATTTGAGGAGGCGGCCGAACATCTTGAGAATCCACTTGAAATCGCCGCGGAGCCAGCCGAGGAGGCTGCCGAGGAGATTCTTGAACCGGCCGAGGAGGCTGCCGAGGAGACTCTTGATACAGGCGCGACGGCAAGCGGCGGGGTTGGACCCGAGAGGGAGCGCGCGGCGGCAAGCAGCGGGGCTGTACCCGAGTTGAGGTTCCGGCCAGTGGCGCGTCAGGTGACTTCGCTTAAGGTTGCGGAGGGATTGCTTCCGCCGGGTACTTCTGTGCTGCTGTCATTGGACATTCATTTGGTCGCTGACCGCGACGAGGCGAGGACATCTGCGTGCCTTGAGAGACTCTTGCGAGAGCACTCGGACTTGGCTGTGATTTTCTGCTCGTACGCGGTGAAGCAAAAGACCATTGATAAGGCGGTCCAGTGTATCCACCGTATTTGTGATCGGACGATTGTGCGGCGCCCTTTGACCTTTCCCATTTTCTTCACGACATCCAAGATTGCGCCGGGCACAGGCAAAGGAGCACAATTGTCTAAGTTGGCGGATATCTTTAGCCGGTCGCGCCCCGCTCCACTGACTTTTTTGTATCACGTGGACGATCAAGATCCGATTTGCAAGAACGTGACATCCTACGGCCATCACGGTGTGCATTGGGCGGAGGAGGACCCGCGTGCTTTGGATCAGATCGTGTGGGAGCTCTGCTGGCTCTAGCCGCCGACTGGCAAAACAGAAAGGCAGAGGAAGACTGCAAACGCAGCTCCTCGGGTTTGGGTTCGTGTTGAGGGTCAACTTTGACGGTTGGGGTGAAGTATTTTTACAACCCTTAGACCTCGGTTGAACCGCTGTTCCCATAATGCCTCTAGCATCACAACTGGGATTCGAAGAATCCTCACTGGAAATTTCATCGTCAAGCACGCCCCCTAGGGCTCAAGCACTTAGCGTGCGCCCGGAGGCAGCTAGGCAGTCGGATTCATCAAGTTCGGGGCCGATTCGGAGGAACCGGGCTAGATCATTGTCGTATGGACCCGCATCGAGGTCTTCATCCCTGCAATCGGCACCAACCTTTGCAGCGAATGTTGGCCCTGCCCGTAGTCAGAACCCAACCGGCCCGAACACGAGCCATCAGGAGTTGCACTTGCATCAACATGCCCATCGGCAGCAGGTCCTTCAGGTTGGGGTTGACCCGGTAGCCCATGCGAACATGCAATCCGAAGCAACATCAGCCATCATGAACGCCAGAGCTGAGACAGCAGCCGTGTTTGGCGAAGCCGAAGCAGTGATTCAGTCTCTAAGATCAGAGAACCAACAGCTAGGTGCCCAGGCCGCTGCGATTCAGGGTGAGTCGTATGCCGCCATACAGGCGCTAAGGTCCGAAAACCAGCAGTTGGGTTCACGCGCTTCGGTGATTCAGGGTGAAGCTGAAACGGTGATCGGAAACCTCCGAACTGAGAATCAACAGTTAGGGGAGATGAACCGTGAGCTCAACCAGAGACTCGAAAAGCAAGCTAAGATGATCCTTGAGCAGCAAGAGTTATCTAAGGCTATGCATCAGCAGCTAATCGCGCTTCAGTCGCATGTGCAAGCTGCCGAACCAAAGAACCCAAGCATCCCTTCATCGGCTATCCCCGCGAGCTCTACCCAAAATGGCGCGGATCAGGCTGCGTCTGCATTCAACGCATTGCAGGCACTCGCGGGTGAAGTTGGGGGAACAATGCGAAGGATTGAACAGGCAATTGAGGTAGCCCTTAGTCCCAAAGCCAAAGCAAAGAAGCAGAAAGCTAAAGCCGAGGCTACAGCTAGGGCCATTGCACCATCAGTTGCGTCTCCAATTCCCGCTAAGGCTTCCGGTTCTAGTGGTTCGGTTGCCCCGGGTCCGGTTGAGTTTGGATTGCCACCGTACCAATGCAGCCGTAAGAGCATCTTCACGGGTAGATTGCATTCCGCAACACCCGCTTCTCCACCTCCTCCACCACAGAAGCTAAAGCCCCAAGTCTTCGACATAGCAGATGAAGATGACTTTGATGAGCATGGCGAAGATGAGGGTGATGAGGACGGAGAAGATTTCGAGGATGATCCAATCGTCCCCGTTGCGGCTCACGAGCCTGAAGATGACAGAGATTACGAGTCTAGCATTTATAAGTACAAAGACCTGAAAGACATCAAGCTTCCCCAAATTCCGGGTTCTAGCGTTGAGTTCAGGGCTTACCGCAATTCGGTGCTAACACAGATTGCGTCAATCGATTGCAGCGGCAAAGCCGTCCTGTTGAAGTGGCTTCAGAAGAGCCTTGATCCATCAGGGAGCATTGCATTGACACGGTCGCTTCAGCAGGATTGCGAGGGTTTGCCTAGACTTGATGGGTGGATCTCCGCATGTATCAGTGATGCGAAACACCTAAAAGGTGAATGGGGATTGCAAGCGCAGTCGTACTTGAAAGGTGTCATGCGTCTGGGACGATGCCATCGGGTCGTGCACTCTTGTCCATTCTTAGCAGAAGATACCGGATAGATAAAGTGCGCGGGCCATTGGTGACACTACAATCCTTGTTCGATTTAGAACCTGACTCATTTTCCTACCAATCGCTTGTAGCCTTCAAACAACGCGTCGAGTACGTGTTGAATGGCTTACCGGAGCGGCAATGGCCAGATGCCGAAACAATGTTTTCCTGGATCTACTCACGGCTAAAGGGTTGCAGGATGCTTTCACGCACAATTGATCGGGTCAAAGATGCCAAGCCGGGTTCAAAGCGTAGGACATTTGAGTACATTTGGAACGGGCTCGAAGAGGTTCTTGCAGAAGTGCGCGAGGATCGTAACGAGCAAGCGCTCAAGGATTCGCTCAAAGAGGATTCCAAACAGAAGCCGAAACCAGATGCAAATGCGAAAGCAGCCGCGGCCAAGGCTACGCCCGCCGCTCCTGCTGCAAAGGCAAATGCAAAGGCTAAGGCCAAAGGCCAAGGCAATGACAAGCCCCCGAAGGCCCCGAGCAAAGCAACTCCAGGAGTCACCGACGCCAATCGTGGTGCCGGTGAGGGTGCCAACAGGGACAAAGGCAAAGGTAAAGGGAAAGGCGGAGGTAAGGATGGCAAGGCTAAACCTCAGAAACCTCCAGCTGCAAAGGATTCGTCAGCTGAACAATCCGGCCAAAGGCCAGCGTGCTTCTTCTATCCAAAAGGAACATGCACTAGGGGAAAGGATTGCCCTTTTGAGCATGTAGATGCACCAAAGAAAGCTGCTCCATCAAAGGCCGCCCCAAAGGTGCCTGCCGGAGTCGCCATGTTAGCAGCCGCGTCGACGGGCGCGAGCGCATGCAACATCCCTTCATCATTTGTCCGCGGTTTCAAAGCCACATGTCGCTTGATCACCGCTCCCTTTCGTGTGTTTGCCCGCTTTGCGGCAGCACTTTCATTTGCATTGCCCGCAACCGTGCATCATTCGCATGATCGCATTGCCGCGACAGTCAGTAGACCTAACTGTTCAGGGGGGTCGTACTTCCTTGATTGGGTTGCTGATTCTGGGGCAGGGAGAAGCCTGCTAAGCCAATCCGCGCTTGCAGATCAGGGCATTTTGACTGATATGTTCAGCGATCACATCCGGTCAACCAAGCCGTTGCAGTTTGAAACCGGGAATGGTGTGACGAGCAGTGGCACCTTCCTTACTACAACGAGCGATGCCTTTGGATCAGTAGAATCCTATGTTCTGCAAAGCTGCCCGGTAGTGCGGTCTTTAGGCCAACTAGTAGAGTTGCAGCGAAAACCTTTCGTTTGGCTTCCTGGTAGCATGCCGTTCTTCGGTAGTGACGAAGATTGCGTCCAGATCACTTGGGATTCGGATCGTGTCATTTATGCCCATAAGGTTGATGACTATGTTCCGGTATTTCGTGAGCAGATCAGGTTTGGTGGTGATGGTTTGCACAGAGCCTTAGCCGCTGGTGAGTCTGCCCCGGCAGCCCCAGCAGAGGTTCCTGCGCCCGCTGTCCCAGCAGAGGACCCTCCTCTCCCAGCTCCCGCAGCACCCCCTCCACCTGATCCAGGGGAAGGTTCCGGTGCCGACGATGAGGGTGATGAGGATGCACCAACCAAGGCTCAGCGGCTAATCACTGAAGCCCAGAGTTTACAGCATCGCTTAACGCATATGCCAAAGAACCCCTACTGTGATGTCTGCAGTCGGAGTCGAATGCTAAAGAAGCGAACGGCGAGGACGCGCTATGCAAAGTGTGATGATGAGTTAGATCCGGTTGAGGAGTTCGGTCAACGGATAGCGGCTGATTTCATCATAGTGCACAAAGACGCTAAAAGCACTGAAACCGTCGTCCTGACTGTGAGGGATGAGGCTACAGGGTACATAAGAGCTTTCCCGCTAGTGTCCAGGCACGAAGACGGGGTGGTACGATCATTGTTATCCTTTCTCGGTAGGCGCGCTTCTGGACCTTGTGTATTGTTCAAGAGCGACAATGCGCGAGAGCTCCTCGCCGCATGTGCGACGTTGGGGTTTACTTCAGAACCAAGCCTTGAGCGTAGATGGCCTCACAACTCAGTTCTCGAACGGGAGATCCGTACCATCGAGGAGTGTACAAGGGCTCTCCACATTGCGGCCGGTTTTCAGTTGCATTCGGGTCTTTGGGTTCACACTGTTCGCTATGCGGCACACACCATTAACCTTTTCCACCCTGCGGTCGGGATTGAGGGTTGTCGGTATGCGAACGCGATTGGATCCGAGTTTGGTGGCATGAAATTACAACTTGGTCAACTAGTCTATTACAGACTTGACCCGGCAAACCGTGAGAAGTTTCAGGCATCAGCAGCACCTGGTGTTTTCGCAGGTTGGCGGTTCGATAGCGGTCCATCATCATTCAGAGAAGTCTACTATGTCTTGGATTATGGTAAGCTAAAGAACCGTGAACCGGGGTACGAAAAGGCGATCTCCGTGCCTAGAGAGGAAATCCACGTTCCCCGCGGCAATCCCATCCTCCCGATGTTCACCGCTGCAGAAGCTGCTTTGTCTAGTTTCACGAAAGCCGAGTATGAAGCCATCGAATTTCTTGATGTGCCGTTCAGCACGGTAGCACCGTCAACACCCGTTGCCAAGCGCCACGAGTACATTACTTTGGACAGACTTATGCGACTAGGTGCAACACCTGGTTGTAAGGCCTGCAAGTTCGATGGAACAGTACACACGCCAGTATGTAAGGCAAGATTTGATGGTTTGATTAAAGCCGAGAAGATTGCCGCGAGCAAGTCAGTCAGAGACGCTGCACCGCCTGATGTTGAGCGCCCTGATCCTTTGGCGGAGTCTGCACCCGCAGCCCCCGAGGGTGATGAGGATGCTCCAGAGCGCGCGAGCTCCTCTGCTGGCCCACGGGCTCCAGCTGGTGTTGTAGTTCAGTCTTCCGAAAGCAAAGTTCCAACAGGTGAGTTTGGTTTGAGTGCAAGGTTTCTCGCAAACGAGAGAGCGCGTAACAACACCAGAAGGGTGAAGGAACTTCCAGGGGAAAATGTTCTTATCGAGTACGGTTGTGAAGACGAGTCTGAGATAAGAGATGCTTGTGAACGTTGTAAGGTTCATTGTGTTAGTCTGTCCCAGTCAACGCTGGACTTGACTTCGCAGGATGACATGCAGCAAGTTGTTTCCCAAGCAATCCCAGGTGTAGATGCTTGGTTCACCATACCATGCACACATATGTCTTCACACCAAGCCGTACATCGTGAGTCCCA